TCCACAACATTTGATGTGTTGATTGTACATATGTTTGTGTTAAATAGTTGTATGAGTTCCAATTGATGTAATTGTTGGTTAATCTTGTTTGTGTCTGGACATTCCACAACTTACAATCGTCAACCTGTGAAGGTTTGTAGGCGTACTGGTGTAAGTCCTGCAATTCTTCAAGGGTATTCCATCAAGACATGAAATGCGAGTTTGTGTGTACTGTTTGTATATATGTGTGGTGTGTCATATCAATTGGTGTTATTTGGATTCATTGTGTTTACTTGTTGTTTTCGTGTCTTGTTGTTATTGCGTAATTTTGTTAAAATTTCCGTCGTGATTACTTCTGAAGTTGTTTCGAGTCTTCTACATCCATGAATGAATTGATTGATGTTACAGACAGCAGATGGGGCGTACACGCCGGGGAGGCTAGCGCTGAGAATGAAATGCACACGGAGATAATTGTTAGCTGCGGTCCGACACGCCGGGGAGAAAGAGTGTAAACGACTGAGGCTCGCATGCGTCACCGCTACTAGAACTGAGGCAGAATGAATGACAAGCGATTTCAGTGGTAATTGGTAATGAGTAGATAAGAGGATGTGCGTAGAGTATCATGAGTTGGTGCTATGGTCACTTTGCATTCTGCAAGGGTCATTCTAGCAAGTGGAGACTGTGTTGCAAGATGTCAAGAGGAGGTCTCTATTTGGAGGCGCAGGTGGTCATTGATGTGTGAGATTGTGCTGTGGGTATGCTTGTGGTGTGTTGGCTTTTCTGTTTGTTTTCCATTTCAGCTCTGTCCGTGTGACCCAGGTTCTCGCAATGGCATCCAAGTCAACGTGCATTGATCGTGAAGGAAAAAAGGGTTGGATCCCTTTTTTGCCGGGGAGTGTCAATGGAGTTGAAGATTGAACGATCAATTCTTGGTTGTTTGCTCAAAATCAACTTCCTCGATTTTCGCGGAGGCATCAATACGACAGTCATCGTCTCATCGGTCGCTGTTCAGAGAGAAGAGTGAAACATCGTCAGAAGTAATATAACGATTTATTATTGTAATATTTGTTTACAGACCTTAGTTTGATTAGTTCGTTTATTTCTTTTATATGTTGGTGTAACAATAAAGAAATAACAAGCAGCAGATCGGTGTTTTGGTATTTGCGTCCGTTATTACTAAGCGTTTCCGAAATCTTCGAAGAACAGCGTGGGCCCGAGCGTAGCGAGAGCTGGGCATTAACGGTTTATGAGACGAGACTGACACCTTGAATTCTTCTGATTGTTATTATCTTGCACATACGTGTTCACAGTATATGAGTTCAGATGCAGACTGTTAAATATTACTTAGAATTCGGATAATGAATTCTTGTATGAGCTGTTTTGATATCGTTTACATTCCAAAGACATATTAGTTTAACCACTTTTAAAAATGAGCAGCTTTATTCAACAATTTGCCCATGTAATGAATTGCACTTAGCCAAAAATGGGTCATTGGCATAATTCAATTCAATTTGAAGACGAATTAGACAGAGGAGAGGCCAGATTTAGCTACCACTTTTATTGAGGTAATATGCTTTTATATATTTAAGTAACTTTTGACACCTAAAGCTTCGAACCTTCATTGGCAGTGGTAATTAAAACTGAAACCCAGAAAAAGAGCTTTGTCTTATTTTTGACTATTCAAGCAGAAGTTTCTGTTTCATACTAGCAGAATATCGCTATATTAGCATCACCACTTGAGTAGGGCTGGCCTTTAGTGGGCATCAGATTAATACTCAAGAATTCAGTGATCAGGTAGGTAGTTACTTGGGTTCTAGCTGGAATTCGTGACTGGTATGTCACGGCATTTGGAGCGTGAACAGAAAACATGCCGATGACATTGGCTATCGGTCGCACTGTCCTTAATTGGCGAAATCTGGAATTCATAGGCCACTGGAATCAATACTAGTGGCTTAATGGTCTTCGAGCTCATCTTGGGAGCGAAGGGTCTCGAGTTCGGACCACGGTAGATGAGAACTGTTGAAGAGTCACAGACCAGAAAAAAACGGTTTGCCTGTACTCCCAAGTTTTCCAATGGTTCTCCAACTGATTTCGGTTCATAGTGAAATCGAATAAGTAGTTGGATTCAGGTAGACCAAAGATTGAATATCACTGATAATTATTTGAATGTTCTGATGAATTCGCAGTGGATTTAGAGAAAGCGACAGGTGGTCGTGTCATAGGGGAAAAGGCAAAAACTCATTGTGCCTGACTGCCTTTCCTGTCGCTTTTCGAACGAAAACAAGACGGGTAAATTTAAAGATGCACAGAGTGGCTCATTTATGTGATGGATCATATTTTTGCCGACGAATGTCAATGTAGATGATGACTGAACGATCAATTCATGTTTGTTTGCCCAAACCAAACTCCTCCATATTTTTCGCGGGAGTGATCTATCCATCAGTGATCCTCTCATCGTTCGCTGTTCGCTGGAAGAGAGAAAACTATCAGAAGTATTATCGTGATTTATTGTGATAATATTTATTCTTAGACCTTTTGTGTAAAAACATTATTGTTGGTTATATGTTGGCGTAATAATGAAGGATTCTCGAGTCGCCAATCTGTGTTCTGGTTTTTCCCGTTGGTTATTACAAATTGTTTCTGAAAGCCTTCCAGGGACAGTGTGATGTCCAGCGTAGTAAGAGCTGGACAATGACAGTTTGTGAGAGTTGGCTGACAGTCTCTGATAGTTTTCGACAGTTTCTGTTCGTCTTTCCTGGTGTCCGCCCGTCTTCTTAAGGCAAGTGTTATCTGGAACTTTTCTGGATTTTTTGGTCAGGTTCAGTGATGCCTGGGTCAAAGAAGGGACAGTAAAGTAAGTACTGCTGAGTTGCTTGTTAACTGTAATGAAATGTTTGTTTCTCAGAATGGTGAACAAAAATTTTATGCAAAATTAGGGAATTCTTTTATTCGTTTTAGTCGTCCTCGTCTAACTTTTATACGATCGAACCATTGGTGCTCACCTTGTTCTTTTTGTTCGAGTGGTAGTCGTTCAATTTTTACCTCCATTTACACCCGTATCATGTGGCTTACATTGCTTCCCACAGTAAAGTGACATGCTATGTTTTATTCCATTACATTTTCCTACGTATATGTGGTGCAAATGCATAATTGTAAACAAGCTTACCCCGTGTTTATGTTATTTATCATACTGATATAAACTGGCGTCCTTTGTGTACAGTAACCGGTAACATATTATTTTTACTGTTTTATATATTGGTAGACAAAGCCAGTGCATTGTTTCTATCAGTACGAAATGAAATTTTCACGCAAATATTTACACTGATGTCATAAACACATCCCATGTTTTCGAATGTTGGAGGATTATAAGCAAGCTTCATGAAAGTCCTCCGAAACGTCCTTACTTTAAAGGCATTACACTCGCCCCAAGATTACTTTTAGCCCATGCAAGTAGAAGATCGATCAATTAAGCAATGAATTAATTTTCCACTCCACTGCACTTTCGATAATCATCACAATCAGTTGTACTTTTTGGCCTAGCAATGAACTAAGCGCACATTTGCGCAACATTGGTGGAATTCGAGATATTTTCGCACATTCGGTCGACGAAGGCCACATTACACTGCATCAATCGGCGCAGTCATGTGTTAGATCCACCTATTTATGTCCTTCTAGCTTACGATAATTCCTGTCCATACATACACGCTGAAAAACGCATCGACATCACAATTTCTCTCCTCACAGAAGCCTTTGTTAATATTTCAAATAATTTCCACGTACTGATTTGCTTGTCAAATAATGCTATGCTTTACAAGAACACTAGCTGTATGGATATCCTGAGACATGCACAGTCTTTATTGAATGTTACTATGTCAGAAAGTACAGCTTCCATATGAATTGGGCTATTCGGTTAGATGATATTACCCTCTAAATATTCCATTTCGCTCACTGCAACAATGTTTCAGCACACCTGAAATATAAACCCTTGCAACCAGCATACCTTAGTCAGGCCACATGACGTGTGAGGGACTTTCCAGCGAGGTCAGTAACACATCAAGTATACGAATAAAAATCCAAGCTAATGAGATGATAGTGTAAAAATATATTATAAAAAATACAGTAATGAGTTATATTAATTTAATGGTTACTTGAATATACAGTTAAAGTCCATGGCCACAAATTATTAATATAATCCACAGAAGCATTCGCAGCTGTAGTCGTGTCTACTAGTAGAAGATGTGCACTGGTTGTAGAGTAGTCTTCGGATGAGCATAATGGGTTCCTGCAATAAATCCAAAATATACAACACGGTAATGAGTGAGGCAAGTAGACAGTATAGACCAGTGAGAAGACGAAGCGACCAATAGTACGCTGTATTTTAGATTGTACTCGGAAGCTATCTGTATTTCGGCATGAATCGTTTTAAACAAAAGTCATGTACAAGGTATCTAATTTCAACATCTAACAAAAAATTGTACAATCATATTGTTACGTACTCCGCAGACGGGAACACTAACAATCCATGTCTGAAAATTGTGGTTTTCATCAGTCCAGACAATACTAAATACAATTTTATCTAACATTATCCACAAAATTTGTGCTAAGTTAAATTTCAACCAATATGACGAATATTTCCAGACAATATGTCACTTAAATGTGACGCTGAATACCAGCGTTTCTTTCCACAACAGAAATGATATGTATTTCTTCAGGATTTCAGTTATAAACTTCTGGTCAGTGCTAAGAGGCACAAAACCTTGATCTAAATCTTCCTGCCGACTGCTACCTAACAAATGTTGGATGTTGAAAGTTCTATGTTCCTACTAGTGATCTATTTACATCTCAAACTAAAGTCAGTTAATATTCATTAAACTATTGCATCGCTGTTCTATATGTGAAATCTTCACGAAATTTTTACACATCTGTTGTTCTAATCTCTTGAATTTTAAACCATCCAATTAAAATCCAGCACGACTAAAAACGGGGAAGGCGCCAAACCTCAGTTTGAAGCCTTAGTCATAATGGGACTGTTGAGGTTTCTGTTGCTTTTCTCTGTGTGCTCCTTGTGGTTGTGTGTAGCCGAAGATGCCGATGGTGATTTGGGAGCTAAAAAGCAGAAGGTAAGAATATTTGGACTTCGGAGTCTCGGTTTAGCCTTCCTTTATAGCTCCAAATGTTCCCACTGGCGCTTACCTCGCTATGTTCTTCAATGGACCTTCCGACCTGAGCCAAAAGTATTGTGCTTCTTTCTAATCACTCTTTAGGCTTGTGGTTTCCCAGGCACGTAAAGATGGAATAGAAGACTCTATTGCCAAGTATGACGGTGTCTGGTCAGTGGAAGTTCCACATGCTAGCGCAATCGACGAAGACTATGCTTTAGTCCTGAAGTCCAAAGCCAAACATCATGCTGTCTCTACGAAATTGTCCAAGCCGTTGAAATTCGATACAGAGGAGCTCGTAATTCAATATGATGTCAAGTTCCAGGACGGGATGGATTGTGGCGGTGCATACATCAAGTTACTAAGCGCTTCTCCTAGTCTAGATTTGGTAAATTCAGTGAATATGTTTAATTTATTTTAAAAGAAACAATTTAACGACAAGACTCCATACACCATTATGTTTGGACCCGACAAGTGTGGATTGGATAATAAGGTATATATGAAATCAATTACATGTTTTTAGTTTCACTTCATATTTCGGTACAAAAATCCGAACACTGGTGTTTACGAAGAGAAACATGCTAAAAAAGTGCTCCCGGATTTGGAATCCTATTTTTCTGACAAGAAATCCCATCTTTATACACTAGGTTAGTTGGATTAACTTATATTCTAAGTCAATAGTTTTGCGTGCGGATAACTCTTTCGAGCGCTACATTGACCAAGTCAAAGTACAGAGTGGGACACTTCTTGATGATTTTGAGTAAGTTCATAGCGTGTTTAGTCTTCATAATATATATTCCTCAATTTTTAATTTGCACATACAAGTTTTTTCAATCATATTGACTAGGTTTAAAAGCTAAATCCCTTTCGTAAATAATCTGTTTTACACAGTAAATCTGAGAAATGCGATTCTCGCACACTGAACATTACGGTTCTCAGAGGGCTATTGTTTCTATTTAGTGATATCAAATTCTTGTCTAAACAAATGTTTCGTATGTTCGAAAGTCGTCTGATTTATCTTTATTTCGAGATTTATTGTAGTCAGCAGGCAGTTTGTGTGCCACGTCACTGTGAATTAGCTAGTCATTCACTGTTTGTCTTATGGCTATCTCACTAAATATGCAAACCTCCGTAAAAACAGTTCTATCTGTCTGGGAAAACTACATTGAAATCAGGGTGGGTTAGTCATAAAGGTGATAATCACAGTCGCTTGCAGTGTAGAAGGATACACCTAGTATGATTTAATGGCGTTTAAGACTTCTTGATGGGGTCGGTTGCTTCGAACAAATAAGGGCACACTAAATTGCTTGAAGTTGATGTGGTTAAAGGCACACAGTGCTTTGGAAGGATCGTATGGTCATGTTATGTTATTAGCATATATATATATATATATATATATATATATATATATATATATATATATATATATATATATTTGCTTGACTAAATTCTATCACTGATGTTATGGTATTTACGCAGTTTGCTGCACCATGTGGTTTGATGAATTATTTAGGTGTACTCTTTTACCCTAATCATCTCAGGTGGTACATTACATTAAAATCAGCTGGAAATTCACGGGAATGCTGAAAATGCAGTGATACGAGACGACACACTATTCATAAAATGCACCGCTCACCCAGAGTAAACCAAGGATTAACAACGAAAGCCAGAACACTTGACGTATAGAGTGCCACTCATCGACTCCTAGCAGTAACTTTAATTGTTTGATTTTTCTTCCATTCCTTCAAGTTCCCAGTAGAACATAGGGCTTCCAGCTGAAGGCTTGGTTGGTGAGCACTCTACTGATGTGCCACCGACGCACATCCATTTGTCGTCCTACTTCTAGCTATGAGTAACTGAGAGTTACAATAAAGCATGTGATTAAACAAATCCTGATCCATCTTGATTATCTACGCGTTTTGATTTATGGTTTTCTATATCTGTATATCAGTTTGCAACTAAAGAGGGGCATTTAATTTATTTTGAACAGAGTAAATGGTTTTGAGGGTCTTAATCAATAGGCTGGGAAATAGTCTGGCACCTAGATTTTGTTTCAATCTAAGTATAAATTGCATTTGTATGAAAAACTTCCATTTCCACATAGTCTCTAAAAGCTTCTTTATTTCAGACCTCCAGTCAATCCCCCAAGGGAAATTGATGATCCTAACGACAAAAAGCCGGATGATTGGGATGAAAGAGAAAAAATTGTAGATGTCAATGCCAAAAAACCTGACGATTGGGATGAGAATGCTCCAGAGACTATTGAAGATGAAAGCGCTACAAAGCCTGCAGGTTGGCTAGATGATGAACCAGAAATGATTCCCGATCCAGCAGCAGAACCTCCAAAAGACTGGTAAGTAGCTTACAGGTAACCAAGTGACCCTTTACATCAGCCGGGCTAGCGGCCATGTGAGATTTGTTTCCATGGAGGATTTTCCTCCGTTAGTTTTAGGAGCGTCATACAGTTACTCGTTTAATTTGTAAGGGGGGGTCGAGATCTACATTTCCTTAACACTATGAGTTAAACTAAGTTCTCTAAGTGTTTGCAGGCTATTTAAATTTTGAGGTGAAATTTGATATCATGGTGAATTACTTAGCAGGGATAAGAAGTGTGAACAATTGTTTGCATACTAATCATAAATAACCCACATCCCTTCATATGAATTCATTTCCAACCTAAGCCTAATTTACATAGTTGAATATGTCCAAAATAGCTATTTACTTGTAAATAATCTTATAATAATCTAAACTCTCTAGCCCCATATGCTATTGGAGATATCAAATTACATGGCATGAATACTCTTCAGCATTCAAATGAAGTGAATGGTCTATGAATTTCATTTCATGTGAAACATTTTAAATTTCAGTAGTAGTTTACTGTTCATGCTGGATCTTTGAGTATTACTCCACTCCATCGTCTATGCAGTGCCGGTGTACCCTACTTTCTTCTGTTTTTTATTTTGTTCCTAGGGATCGTGAAATGGATGGTGAGTGGGTTGCACCAAAAATAAGTAATCCTAAGTGTGCTAGTGCCCCCGGATGCGGTGAATGGCATCGACCAGTTATACCGAATCCAAAATATAAGGGCAAATGGTCTCCTCCATTAATATCCAATCCAGCTTACAAGGGAATTTGGAAACCCAGAAAGATTCCCAATCCTAATTATTTCGAGGAGAAAAATCCATATAGGGGTTTGGCGGAGGTGGTAAGTCCCGTAACACAATAAAATTGAATCATAACGTTACTGTCATTTATTTTCTCCATGTAATATGTACGCGTCAAATAATGTCTGCTGTTGTTACTAATCGACAGAATTAGATATAAAAGTGCAGTTGTAAGCTTGCTGTGTACTAATCATAACTGATCTATTTTTCAATTTAAAACCGCATGAAAATGTAGATGTTCAAGTTGCTACACTTTGTTAGACACAAAGCGAAAAAAAGAAAATTTAGAGAAATCAGTAGTGTAAAAAATATACGACTGAAAGAATGTGACGGACCTAAGATTTTATCGAGAGTGAATGCATTTGCACCGTTGGGAACGAGTTTGAGCCACATCAACAACAGTCTCAAGCCTTGGGTTATCGGCGTCTCGAGGACTCCTCACAGGCAGTCCACAAATCCCTACGTGTCTCACCAGTAATCAAAAAGTTCATGGATTGATGCCATGTTTTTATTTGACCCTGTCGGCTAATATTCCTCGACGGGGAAGGCTATGGTTAAGCATGCGTAACATGTTCTAGTCATCTCAGTCGATAAAGCTTCACGACGGCGTCAATTGACTCGCCCTCCTCGCCTAACTGCGCTCAGCCTCTATATTACTCACCATGTCCTGCTTAACACGGGAGATAGAACGCAGTTGCCTACAGTAAAAGTCAGCTAGCCTCTCCAAGTCTTCTATTTTCCGTGTCTGTTTGACAGCCATAAAGGAGAACAGAGTAAACTGCTACACGGTACATACGTCCTGTGATGGATAGTCGTATATCACGTCTCCGTCACGGCTGGTGTAAGTTGGCAAATACTTTTTTTATCCGTTCTACGGTTTCGTCAGCAACTTCCCAAATAAAGTGAAGTGGTCAACATACTCATAAACACTACCCTCCCTATTTTTAAACTGGGAGTTGATGCACACTAGTCACATTCTAATCAGTCGAAGATTTTTGCCCAAAATGTTCACAAAAATGCATTTTCTTAGCGTCTTAAGATAGATTTACATACTCTGTATCAGCAAGTCTACCCTGATAATATGTCGATCATGGTTACATCCTTCGGCAAGTCTATGATAAAATTAAACACAAGTGGAGACGTTAAACATACGTGACGCATACCACCGGTTGTCATTGTTTTAGATGACAACTCTCCATAAGCTCTTAGGCAAATGAGGGAGCTCTAGTAGAGCATCTCGGTTAATACGATATATGTACTTGACACCTCCGTCAGACATTGTCACAGAACTTATCGGTCAACAGTATCCATTGCTGCTGCCTTCAGATCGGAAAATATAACGGTTATTGGACTTCGTTAAGTATACCTGTGTTCCACAACCTGTGGAAGCGTGTAGATATGACAGACACCTCCGTCCAGACTACAAGCCTGCCTGGTTTTCATGGGTTTACTCCTTGCGAGCTCCGCTTAGACTACGAACTATTAAGCAACCTAGAATTTTAGCAGATCACAATAATTACCACAGAAATATTTATCTTTATTGTAAACTGAAATAATTGGTTTATTTACGCTAATCTCAGATTATCATGTATCTAATATTCTTGGCGAACCCAGTCTGTAGTTCATCATCAACATCATACAATCAGACTGAGCTGTTGTTTCAGATTAGAGATATCTTTTACAACTTAAGTTACAATTGAACTACACTTGTCTACATCACATTCAGGTAGGCATTGAACGTAGGCATATCTAACTCGATTGTAGGTCACGTGAATTGTTCCTCAGTGTTTTCTCCAACGTTCCAGTTATTTATCCTGAGAAGTACTTACAGAGACAGGAAGTCAAAGGGTGAAGGTTGGTGGTGCTTAGGAAACCTTTGTGTATACTTATGGAAGCGTATGGACAGTTACAACTTCCTGGTTACTCACACTGTGGGAGTCGATTACTTCTAGAGATACCCGAAGCAGAAAGAGCGTCAGTGTTGTGCAACCACAGAGCCTACAGGTCACCAACTTCACCATTCACATCCCAACATGACGTGAGTGACTTACACTGTGAGGAGAATTGCTTTTAGTCTAACCGCTATCTAAATAATCTGTTTGGTATAGTGGGACCTGGAGGAACATTTCAACCGGTGTAGGTGGTTGGGTCATTAAGGTATGCAAACCCCACCACTATGTAAGAGTAGCAGCCTATCAGTCAGGTCCAACTCAGTAAGGCAACGGAACTCGGGATCTCACTAAATGACGAATTACAAGCAGTAGAAATGATTCGGTCTAACTTTCCATCATAGGCTAATACCCAAAAGAAAGCCAGACTTGTCCACACGTGTGCTGTGTTGTCTTAGGATTGCGAACGAAGTGCTGCTTCCAAATGCAAACAATTTCACAGGGACAGTTGCTACTAAGTACTCACGTTGACTGAATATACTGGATTCTGGAAGTCTAGGTTTTATAGTAATGGCCTAAGACTATACTCAGCGAAATTAAGTAAAGTTATTCCATGACAGCTGAACTCGCACATAGGATAACTGACGTATTTCACCGTAGTTTTCATATGGTGGTAAAAATCGTTAATTACACCAGAACAACAGCCTAGGAATATGTCGTGTCGATGTCATAATCATTTGTGTATTTGTCTTCGTAATTTTTCTCTTGGGAAATGTAACGAATTAAAACATGATGGAATAAAACAATTCCAACAGTGGTGTGAACATGGGCAGTAATTTTGCTCGAAATATTACCAATGACAAAACTTATCATTGTGTGTAAACTATTAAAATATAATAATACTTTATTTGTAACGAATTAAGTTGGTGCACTTTCCACTCTGTTCTTTGTCAGTTTTGTAACTATAATACATTGATAAAGCTGCATTTGAGAGTTACTTCTGACTACTTATATATGCTTGAAATTATGTCCAGCATTTATAGGAAGCTCAACTCTCATTGTTTCAGAACTGAAAGGCTTCAATATTAACTTACATATATTTCTAACGATGGTTCAACATTTTCAAATCGTGTCTTTCATAAAACTTTTCTTGTTTTCAGAGCGCGGTTGGTCTTGAGTTATGGTCTATGACTGATGGAATAGCCTTTGACAACTTCCTGATTGTAGATTCGAAACGAGCAGCAGATGAATTTGCCGAAAAAACATGGGAGTTAAAAAGGAAGCTGAACGATTAGCTGACCCAAGAGCAGTAAGATACAGTTTTACTAGTTTCAAACTTAAATTTTGCAAATAAATTTCACAAACTCATCTGATGTATATCATAATTTTATTGTAGAGCTTTTGTCCTATTTGATGGGATTATTAACTGAAGTTTGCTGCTTTCGAGGTGTAAACTGTTTTGTGGAAATACTGTTTTCGGAATATCATAGTCTTGACACTGATATGCTTATAAGAGTTAGTCCGTTCACTTACTGAGAGATGGACTGCCCTACAATTTCACCACACTGCTCATTGACCACTTCTTCTTGTGTTTATTGTCCACTTTTGCATGCTCTTAATCCAAACTATTATTTGATCATCTGAAGTTGTAATGCCAGCAAATTCATTTATATGTAGAGCCGTAATTGCTGGAGTACAGTGGATTGAGATTTAGTGTTGATTTGAGATTGAATTTACAGAATATTTTCCATTAGGATATTGCTTTACGGACTGCAGCATGTGATTTTGTATATCACTCGATGTAGGTTCTTATTTTAATTAAAAACATATTGAGCCATATTCTACAACAACCCAGCGTATATAGTTTACCATAAGTCTCAACTGTTTAGCTTGGACAAATACATACATTTCGTAGATTATCAGTGTAAACAAGTAAAACAGAATAACTAACAAGTGGAAGTGAGTGTTTGGTTGCCGCATTACACACTTGATCAACTAGTACTGAGCATCAGTTGCTCTGCATGACCTTCTTGATGGACATAATTCTACCTTAAGGAAGACCAATCACAGCCCTTATAGTTCATTGGTAGTGTATTTAACTACAACATTATAGTGTACACGTTTGAATTCTAGAAAGCGTTTATTTTCTGAAGATTGTCCATGAGGGGTATACAAGCAAAAATGTCAGTTGAAAAACCTTTTTTGGCTATTGGAGTCAAAACACTGAATTATAGATATAAAATAAAAAAGACCATTAAACAGTTGTTTTCAGTGAACCTCAACTAGGTTTTTGTTGTAATATACCACCTTTAAGTCCACATTTTCGAGTTATCTCTTGATTTCGCACTTTTTTATTTTTCGCCGAAAGTGTATAAAATTATATTCACAATAATCGTGCTTGACGATGATTCAGAGACTAAGCTGTCATTTTCCTCCATAATTCATAACAAAAACATGATTCTTTAACGGTGATAAATGTGTTTTTTATATTCTCTTTGTGTAGCAAAGTGTTGTAGATGCCATACGAGAGACGTATAATGAAAAACCATGGCTTATCTTTGTGATTGGACTTGTATGTACACTACCGATCCTACTTTGTTGTATCTACTTCTGTCGTTCACCGTCCAAACAGGATGTTCATAAGAAAACTGATATGTCCACACCTGATGATACACCTCAAGAGGAGGATGAGAAGGATGCAGAAGTTGAGGAGTTAGACGAATCTGGTGAAGATGATATTGTTCAAATTTCTAAAGGTTCTGGTGATGAATCCGATGCTAATAAAACAGGTAGTAGTAGAGGTGATCTTGATGCAGATTCTACGGAGGAAGCTTCTGGAGCCGCAGGAACTGAGGTGAGATGGTTTTATAGTATTTTCCTTAGTGGTGTTTGTTACATTGTTGTGGGGCTGTGACTCACTGGTCTGGGCACTGACGGGTTCGAACCCCGTGCCATCTACCGAGGTTTAAGCAGCCAGATAGTATAATTAACCCTCACATATTAGGTGTGGCTCATTTCTGTCTATGTGAAAATGCAGGTGGTTGTTGAGTGATAACATGGTTGGTTTCGAACTGTTTACTTATAAAGATTTTTTGGTTTAATGCATTGAACATCAGTTGGATAATTTTTCCGCAGGTAACTGTCTATATAGCACGCTCAGTGCTAAATAATGTGATCTAATAAACATATCAGTGTGCTGCTATACGTATCACCAGTCAAAATGATCATCGTAGAAAGAGGTTTCCCAATCAACAGTCTCAGAATCCATACAACACACTGACAGTTCCAACATTCATATCATCCTTCGGTCCTTCAGAATTATGTGAAATAAATAAAATCCGTTGAGTGTTTACGTTGATTTTCAGAGTTCCATAAGTTGTATAACTTAAGTCTACATCAAATCGATCCTAACGGGAAAGTTTTTCTTCCACGTTTTTGCTGAAAAAGAATCCTTAAGTAACTTTTTAAACTAATGCTGTGTTTAAAAGACGGCGTTGTTTTTTCGTTGGCTCCTGGCTTTCCTAATTTTGTGTATGCAAACATTCTTGTTGTCAAGAGTTAAAAAATGGGATGTTATACCATCTTTCTGCTCACTTCCTTTCACTGAACTGTTGTAAAGTGTAACGAAGTGATTCATTTGTGCTGATATTTCCCCTTTGATACATTCATGTATTGTAACATTCCTTGTGGTTTTATGACATTTACAATTAATAAACATTTAGGGAATTACCAATTGTCATATGTTTTACATTTTATTCTGCAATGTCAATACAACTAGCTACCTACAAGTTATCGAACTACAGAAGAATACTTCTACGCTTATATGTATGTGGTCTTTCTTTTTCAAAGTATATTAATAGGTAGCCGAAAATTGTGTTCCGCATAAGTGTGTGATGAATGTGGTCATGTGCTAAAGTTGATTCAGTCCAGTGGAAAGTAAATCAGTCGAGACAGGGGCACTATTGATGCTAGACTGGTCAGCTGAACACCGAATGAAAATTATCCGCATAAATTCACAAACCAAGAAATTGTCGGCATGAAAATCTGCTCACATAGAAAAACTACGTTATTATTTGGGGACAGCAGTGATGGTATATTTGTTAAAGTCCCATATAATCGAGCGCTTAAATCTGTGTTTATGCCTATCACATCTGATACATTAAATGGGTCTGACTCCACTGTAGTTAACAATCACCGATAAACTGTGTAAGACCTATTTATGAAATGCACGATTATTTGTCTTACCATAAACTGATATGTTTACTTGAAATAATAACTTGATCGTGCGAAGATAATCATTGATTGATTGCTTAGATTCTGCTCACTATGTGTTTCTTACCTTTTCACTACTTTGTCTACTTTAGACCTCTGCTGCCAAGCAGACAGTTAAAAAGCGTCGTTCACGGAAGGAATGAATAGACTTCGGAAACCATTCCCAAAATATTATGCTCACATGAGTTAATTTGAAACCCGGCAAATTATGTTTCGTACACATTGGAGAGATGAGATTCACATGTGAAAATTTCATCTTCCTTGTTAATGTACACCTGTTCTTGTAGTTTGTTTCTTTTATTTGGATATAAACATACATTCACTTTATTATTGTATTGTTCATAATTCACTTCGTGTTTACACTTAGGCAACAAATTTTCCCCAACTTTGCCACCTCACATTTGTTTGACTGGATTTGGTTTTTTTTCCTCATTTTCTTTTTTTCTTTTCGCTTAAAGTTGACGTTAGTGTTTCCTTTTTATTGATATCATTTTGTGAATAAATCATGGCTTTCACAATGCGTATTACCTTAAATTGTTGTTGACTCTAAAGTAGAAAACAAAAAGTCTGTTATTTACATGTTCATTTAGTCATTTATTATTATCATAGTTTTGGAGTAATATCCTATAAAGCAATATGTGTCTGTAAACACTGATTGTGAAATTTGCTTGTAAGCAATAGTAATAAAGTGGAGAGAACATTTCAGGTACTATTTCGCAATATTTTCGACGAAGAATATATCGGAGTTTATGTCTGTCTGTCTGTTTTCGCCATAGAACATTGCACATATGTGCGGCAGTTCCAGTCGCTGCACTCCATGTAGCACACAAAGCAAGAGAAGAAAGTAGAAGAAATGCATAATAGGGACAGTAAACAGATGTGTGAGACAAAGGAATAGTGGTAACGAAGAATATAGTTTCATTGGAGATCATAAGTCACAAGGAGTGGGTGCATCTGCGCCAGCCATTGAGAACGAGGATTTTGAACCATATCACCAATTGTTTCCAACCATTGGTTTTTACCGTCCCGAGGACCCCAACCAGTCAGTCAGGAAGTCTACACCTTCCTACGCGGCCAGCTCTAGCTAACTGTTGTAGATTTCATTGAGTGATGAAGCCATGTTTTGGTTTGACCTCCGCTAGCTTTTTTCCAGCCTGACCCTCTATCAGCTAACATTGCCTGTTGTCGAGGAAGGCGATGACCAGGCATACGTAACACATGTCCTAACCATCTCAGTCGATGTAATTTCACAGCCTCGTCGATTGATTTCCCCTCTTTACCTAGCACTCGACCGGTGCCTAACCTCAATATACCACTTCACACGGGAGACAGCTAATCTTTTCATGCCTTCCACTCTCAATGGCCAAGTCTCACATCCATAAAGAAGGGTAGAGCGGACAGCTGAGCAGCACATGTGCCCTTTGGTCGATAGTCAGCCGGATATCACGTCTACTAAGCCAGAGACGGCATAAACTGGCATATGCGAAGCTAGCCCTCTGTATCCGTGGTGAGACTTCGTCAGATACCAACCTGTTGGGGCTGATGGTACTTCCTGAATAAGTGAAGCGGTCAACGTGCTCTACCATTTCACTCCCTATTTCTAAACTAGTCAGTGTGATCCAGTCCTGTAGCCTCATCATCTTACATTTGGCGGGAGCTAATCGCACGCCAAACATTCGTAGATTGCAGCTCAAGGTGTTCAGAAGACTGCATTTTGTCAGCGTCCTCGCCTAGAAGGACTATATCGTCTGCATATTCTAAGTCAACGAGATTATTCCCTGGTAGCACGCCAATCCCTGTGTCTCTGAAGTGAGTTAGGGTTAAGTCCATCAGTACATGTATAATGAAATTGAGTAGAAATGGGGATAATGGGCATCTCTGACGGACAAAATTAATTGTCACCACTTGGGATGATAACTCACCGTAAGACCTCACCTGGCTGCTTGAGTTCGAGTAGAGTGCCTTAGTCAGTGCAATGTATTTTCTCGGCATTCCCTTTAAAACCAAGCATCGGTAGAGTACCTCTCGGTCGACATAATCGAATACAGAAAACTAAGTGTCGTTCAAACATTATTCGCCGTATTGTAATTGGTGTGAACTACAGTCTTCTTTTTGTTTGACTTAATCGTTGCTTCAATTCGAGACGATTGTGCGTGTTGTTCAAGGTTTACTCAACACCTATTGATATTATCCGATAATTTGTTTTTTTCAGTCATCCTAGAAGATGTGACATGAAATCCGTTATTGTTTGTGCGCAATCGCACTCAGTTTGATCGTGCTCTACAATATCTTACAGCATATACTAATTCGTAAATCTTCTGGCTAACATTGCAGGCCAAGGGATAGTTTGAAATAAAAAAGTAGTTGTTAGCTAGCTATATTTCTCGTTGAGATTGTTTAAGTGTAAAAGACTAACGGAAATCATCCTTTACCACTTCTCATTGCCCACTGAACAACCAGTAGTCAGCAAGCAGCCTGAAAAATGCATAAGAGGACATACGTGTCAGGTTTTACTCAGCAGAGATCTAGTCTGATAATCGTGATTCAATGAGACAACAACAACACCACGGCTTATACTGTAAGCGAATAAAGTGGTAGCAGGAAACATTCTCAGTCTCCTGCTCGTTCTGTGTGTATCATTATCTCCTTTGAAGAATAGCTTCTTATCGATTGTGACAGTGTTTTTTAGAATACCGTAATTATTTTGGAAGCCCATTTCAAGACAGTTGCTTTACAAAAAAGTTATTCTTTTAGTAATAACGTGGTGAATGCTACTTATAGTCACGTATAGGTAGTATATGAGTAGAGGAATTAAGAAAAGCAACATTATGTTTCGGACAGTGGAAAAATCAATCTAAGAACAGAACGTTAGAAACACTGTGCAGAGTTCAACAAGCTATCGATTGTGGTGGTATTCGAACATTTTGCAAATGAAGCATTGGAGCTGTGGTATACCAGATTTATGTACCTACAATGAGTTTGTCGAACCTCATCGGTCTTTTATTCCTTACAATAATAGCAATTCATCTGCAGACTGTAGTTTCTATGCTCTCAAACGGCAAATCCTGGTTTGTATTATCTACATAACTTGCATAAACACTAATCTTTTCGATGTGAAATTTAACGTCATTTGTTTTTAGATTTCAAGCAAATATATGTGCACGTATAATTCTCTGAACAATTTTTTCAAGCAGTGTATCGTGAAGGAGTCTTTACCTCTTTGCTAACGCACGAGCTAGTTTATGGCACGAAGAGTTCCCTGTTAACATTACTGGTCTTAAGGTGATGTTTGTTTAATGCATTTTCGGCAGAGCATACATAGAAGGCACCTGTGTCCTCTAGTTCTCAAGTCATTACACGTTGCATTCTCAGTCAATTCCTTCTTCATTGGATCTAGCGAATGGCTTAATACGTTTGTTTCTGTTTCGAAGTGTCCTGCTTAAAATCCAACTAATCATTCTTTTTCACACATTGCTATCTTACTAACACTCATTTATTTTTGTTACTAACTTACAATAACCTTTGACCTTTATATCCGGCAATTAATATCCCAAATATATTAAGCCTATGGATAAGTGTGTAGTTTTGAAGAGAAGCTGTGATAAGAAATCTTTTTTCTGATTTTTGTGCTGTAAGTTCATTCTCATTTCACAAACGCTTTTTCTAAAAAGTTACAACATTCAGGGAAAGCTTCTGAACGTCGATTCACCGGATATCTGCTAGATTTAGTCATTAATGAGTATTGGTACCTGATAGGTGGTGGCACTAGATTTTCATTTGGTCAAACAGAAATTGGAGAATTCTTAGGGAAAATCTAAACATCCTTGGTTTGATTACGAGTAAAAAAACCTCGAATATCTCATAGTTTGATGAATTTATTTCCCTGATCTCATAATCATGTCTAACGATTCTCCAGCTGATACTAATCAGGTCCAATAACTACTTCATATTCAGTCCATTCAACTCCGTTATAGCAATAATAATGCAAAATAACTGCCCTAAACTATTTTAAATTATTTGGAAAGACAAGAGTTTACTGGTACATTATAGTCATCTAGGACCATTGACTGGTCACTGAGGAAGATGACAGATATTGGTTACAGGATTTCATCATTAGCTGACAATGGTTATAGAACCATTAGAAAACCTGAAAGGTACTGGACATCTGTTTCGTCAGCCTAGTTTGGGACTCTTCATCGGTACGCACCCACCACAGAGGGTCGAACCCAGGACCTTCTGGTTACAAGGCGAGCTCATATACCATTAAGGCACTTGGACCCGATCCGATGGCCAGCCCACGAATTCTAACTTTTGTCAATTCACGACATAGCGCGACCCCTAGCCAATGTCTTCGGTGAGTATTTGTCCTCACACCCGACCTGCTCCATCCTACTGGTTCCCCGTTTTCTGCAGAATTTTCACTCTTAATTATCCATAGGAATTTACATTTACAGGGATAAAATTCCCCCTTTATTGTCCACTGCACTCTACATTTTGATAAATTTGATTCTGGAGAGTGGAGAAATGAATTCACTGTATAGTGAAATGCATGAATGAATGAGTGGGTAGAGTAGAGCAGAGTGGGGATGGAAAAACTGATGAATGAACAACAACCTTAGTGGAATGATGAAGACATCTGAAAATAGGGTTGCATGTGAGTACTTGGTCGTGATAGTATGTCAACTGAGTGGGACGATATTGAAAGTATTAAGTATGAAGGAATAATGCAGATATAGTATATGATGGATGGACTCGTGGAGGATAAAGTGTTTCGAGAGATTTGAATATTGTGTGAAATGCGCCTGACGTCTTATCAACAGATGTGTGATGAAATCTACTCACTCGACTGAATACAAATTATGGGAATGTCTTTCAATGCAAGGCATCATCGACTGCTTGGATATACAGTCATCACATTTACTTAGGGTTGGATTAGTTTCGAAGATTAAGTTGATGAGAATGAGACAGGCTGTTTCGTTAAGCACACGGAGAATACCAGTTCGATATTAAGGTGAAGAGATTAGAATGAATTCAGTGGTGTACATTTCTTTCTGATATGTCGACACACAGAGGAGTATGACATATACATGGAATTGAATAGTAGGTGTAAATATTTGGAGAGATAATCGACAAGAACCTATGT